AGGGAGACAGACATGAGGCACTAAACTACAGACCTGTATCTCTAACGTGTATAGTATGCAAGGTCATGGAGAAGATCATCAGGAGGAGAGTGGTGGGGCACCTGGAAAGAAACAAGTGTATAATTGACAACCAGCACGGTTTCAGGGAAGGAAAATCCTGTGTCACAAACCTACTAGAGTTTTATGACAAGGTGACAGAAGTAAGACAAGAGAGAGAGGGGTGGATCGACTGCGTATTTTTGGACTGCAAGAAGGCTTTCGATACAGTCCTCACAAGAGGTTACTGCAAAAGCTAGAGGACCAGGCACACATAACAGGAAAGGCACTGCAATGATCAGAGAATATCTGACAGGGAGGGAAACAACGAGTCATGGTACGCGACGAGGTGTCAGAGTGGGCGCCTGTGACAAGCGGGTTCCACAGGGGTCAGTCCTAGGACCTGTGCTGTTCTTGGTATACGTGAACGACATAACGGAAGGGATAGACTCAGAAGTGTCCCTTGTTTGCAGACGATGTGAAGTTAATGAGAAGAATCGAATCGGACGAGGATCAGGCAGGACTACAAAGAGATCTGGACAGGCTACAAGCCTGGTCCAGCAACTGGCTCCTTGAATTTAACCCTGCCAAATGCAAAGTCATGAAGATTGGGGAAGGCAAAGAAGACCGCAGACACAATATAGTTTAGATGGCCAAAGACTGCAAACCTCACTAAAGGAAAAAGATCTGGGGGTGAGTATAACACCGAGCATATCTCCTGAGGCGCACATCAATCATAACTGCTGCAGCATACGGGCGCCTGGCAAACCTACGGATAGCGTTCCGATACCTCAGTAAGGATTCGTTTAAGACTCTGTACACCATCTACGTCAGGCCCATACTGGAGTATGCAGCACCAGTTTGGAATCCACACCTAGTCAAGCACGTCAAGAAATTAGAGAAAGTGCAAAGGTTTGCAACAAGACTAAGTCCCAGAGCTACGGGATTGTCCTATGAAGAAAGGTTGAGGGAAATCGGCCTGACGACACTGGAGGCCAGGAGGGTCAGGGGAGACATGATAACGACATATAAAATACTGCGCGGAATAGACGAGGTGGACAAAGACGGGATGTTCCAGAGATGGGACACAGACACAAGAGGTCACAATTGGAAGTTGAAGACTCAGATGAATCAAAGGGATGTTAGGAAGTATTTCTTCAGTCATAGAGTAGTCAGGCCACGGAATAGCCTAGAAAGTGATGTGGTGGAGGCAGGAACCATACATAGTTTTAAAGCGAGGTATGATAGAGCTCATGGGGCAGGGAGAGAGAGGACCTAGTAGCAATCAGCGAAGAGGCGGGGCCAGGAGCTGTGAATCGACCCCTGCAACCACAAATAGGTGAGTACAAATAGGTGAGTACACACACAATGGATCAAGGAATACCTGACAGGGAGGCAACAACGAGTCATGGTACGTGAAGAGGTATCACAGTGGGCGCCTGTGACGAGCGGGGTCCCACAGGGGTCAGTTCTAGGACCAGTGCTATTTTTGATATATGTGAACGACATGATGGAAGGAATAGACTCTGAAGTGTCCCTATTCGCAGATGATGTGAAATTGATGAGAAGAATTAAATCGGATGAGGATGAGGCAGGACTGCAAAGAGACCTGGACAGGCTGGACATGTGGTCCAAAAACTGGCTTCTTGAATTCAACCCTGCCAAATGCAAAGTCACGAAGATTGGGGAGGGGCAAAGAAGACCGCAGACAGAGTATAGGCTAGGTGGACACAGACTACAGACCTCACTCAAGGAGAAAGATCTTGGGGTAACCATAACACCGAGCACGTCACCGGAGGCACACATCAACCAAATAACTGCTGCAGCATACTGGCGCCTGGCAAACCTGAGAATAGCGTTCCGATACCTTAATAAGGAATCGTTCAAGACACTGTACACTGTGTATGTTAGGCCCATACTGGAGTATGCAGCACCAGTCTGGAACCCTCACCTGGTCAAGCACGTCAAGAAGTTAGAGAAAGTACAAAGGTTTGCAACAAGGCTAGTTCCAGAGCTCAGGGGAATGTCGTACGAGGAAAGGTTGAGGGAAATCGGACTGACGACACTTGAGGACAGAAGGGTCAGGGGAGACATGATAACGACATACAAGATACTGCGGGAAATATACAAGGTGGACAGAGACAGGATGTTCCAGAGAGGAGACACAGAAACAAGGGGTCACAATTGGAAGCTGAAGACTCAGACGAGTCACAAGGACGTTAGGAAGCATTTCTTCAGTCATAGAGTCGTCAGGAAGTGGAATAGCCTAGCAAGTGAAGTAGTGGAGGCAGGAACCATACATAGTTTTAAGAAGAGGTATGACAAAGCTCAGGAAGCAGAGAGGTAGAGGACCTAATAGCGATCAGTGAAGAGGCGGGGCCAGGAGCTGAGTCTCGACCCCTGCAACCACAATTAGGTGAGTACACACACACACACACACACACACACACACACACACACACACACACACACACACACACACACACACATACACACATACACACGCTGGACAGGCTGCAGACATGGTCCAGCATTTGGCTCCTGGAGTTCAACCCCACCAAGTGCAAAGTCATGAAGATTGGGGAATGGCAAAGAAGACTGCAGACGGAGTGCAGTCTAGGGGGCCAGAGACTACAAACCTCACTCAAGGAAAAAGATCTTGGGGTGAGTATAACACCAGGCACATCTCCTGAGGCACACATCAACCAAATAACTGCTGCAGCATATGGGCCCCTAGCAAACCTCAGAACAGCATTCCGACATCTTAATAAGGAATCGTTCAGGACCCTGTACACCGTGTACATTAGGCCCATATTGGAGTATGCGGCACCAGTTTGGAATCCACACCTAGCCAAGCACGTAAAGAAACTAGAGAAAGTGCAAAGGTTTGCAACAAGACTAGTCCCAGAGCTAAGGGGTATGTCCTACGAGGAGAGGTTAAGGGAAATCGACCTGACGACACTGGAGGATAGGAGAGATAGGGGACACATGATAACGACATGCAAAATACTGAGTAGAATTGACAAGGTGGACAAAGACAGGATATTCCAGAGATGGGACACAGCGACAAGGGAACACAGTTGGAAGTTGAAGACACAGATGATTCACAGAGATGTTAGGAAGTATTTCTTCAGCCACAGAGTAGTCAGGAAGTGGAATAGTTTGGGAAGCGATGTAGTGGAGGCAGGATCCATATATAGCTTTAAGCAGAGGTATGATAAAGCTCACAGTTCAGGGAGAGTGACCTAGTAGCGACCAGTGAAGAGGCGGGGCCAGGAGCTTGAACTCGACCCCTGCAACCTCAACTAGGTGAGTACACAACGGAGAGCAGGATCGCAGATAAACAACGAGGCTTTAGGGAAGGGAGGCGGGTGTGAAGAGGTTTTCATTTCATTTATGGATTTAGAAAAGGCATATGATAGAGTGGATAGGGGAGCAATGTAGCAGATGTTGCAAGTGTATGAAGTAGATTGTATGTTAATGACAGTAGTTAAGAGTTTTTACGAGGATAGTAAGGCACGGTTTAGATTATGTAGGAGAGAGGGAGATTATTTCCCAGTAAAAGTATGCCTTAGACAAGGATGCATGATGTCACCATGGTTGTTCAATATATTTATAGATGGGGTTGTAAGAGAGGTGAATGCTCGCGTGTTTGGAAGAGGTTATCTGGATACCTGGAGGTTATTCCGGGGATCAACGCCCCCGCGGCCCGGTCCACGATCAGGCTTCCTGGTGTGGGATTAAAAGATTAACACTAACACAAAGTGGGAGTTATTACAGTTGCTTTTTGCTGATGACACTGTGCTTTTGGGAGATTCTGAAGAGAAGTTGCAGAGATTGGTGGACGAGTTTGGAAGGGCATGTAAAAGAAGGAAATTGAAAGTGAACATAGGAAAGAGCAAGGTGACAATGATAACAAAAACTCTAGGCAATGAAAGATTGGAGGGAGGGAGTATGGGGGACGTGAATGTATTCAGATATTTGGGAGTGGGCTTGTCAGCAGTTTGATCTATGAAAGATGAGGTGAATCATAGAACTGATGAGAGGGAAAAAAGTGTGTGCTACACTTAGGAGTCTGTGGAGACAAAGAACGTTATCATTGGAATGTGAAGCCGAAGAATGAGAATGGAGATGAGGAGTGGAAGATCTCGAAGACGTTACAGGGGACGGGGTTCACTAGTAGAAGCAAGAAGGCAAAAACTGAGGAGCACTGTTCCATGTTAAGCAGGTCCACCTCATATCCAACCCTTCTCACTCATAATTATGGGTTAAGAAATGATGTTGTGTAAGATATCCTCTGTACCAAGATACCGTTGTGTTGCTGTATCAAACAAGTATGCTGAAAATGGTATACAATACTGACAAGTTGATTAGTAGGACACATGTGCATCCATTCTTTCTTGCTTTCATTCGTCTCTATGTCGGGGTTTCTCTCCAATTAGCCATTCTTTATTACTCTGTGATGTAGTACCAATATAAATATATGTTCATTATAATCTGGACGAAGCTCGAACCCGTGGATACGTGTGTATGGAGCCTACGCTCTACCATTGGGTTGTGATAATTACAACAGGAAAGCACAACCTAAAATGCATTATGGACGATTATAGTTAAATTCGCTACTAACTGGATGGGATTCAAATCTGAAGTAACATATAAAGCCTACGCTCTATTAGTGGCAGAGGCGGCTGCTACACAAGTTTGTAGTTGGCGTTGCAAATAGTAGCGCCTGCTAAAAGTACCTGAAATAGTTGTTGCCTTTATATTGTAACCACCACGGTGCATTGTAGGCTTCGTACACAACGTTAAGTAGACGAGCGTGTGGGAGGGGATACCCGTGGGTGAGGCTGCACCAATCACTTCGTGGGTCAGTGTTTACACCATATAATCTCCCTGTTGATGTAATTAATTACGGGTTAGTCCGCCAGGTGAGGGCAGGAATGAGGCTGTGGGTGAGGGTTAGGATGAGGGCGTGGGTGTTGGCAAATGTGAGGATATTAGTAAGGTCAGGGCTGAAGATGAGGTGCGAGGGTGTGGGTGAGGTCAAGGCAGTGGTTAAGGTCGAGGGAATGGAAGAGGTCGAGGCAGTGAGTGAGGTCGAGGCAGTGAGTGAAGTCGAGGCAGTGAGTGAGGTCGAGGCAGTGAGTGAAGTCGAGGCAGTAGTTGAGATCGAGGCAATGGGTGAGGACACACAAGGGAGGGAATTCCTCTAGGACGTATTGCTTCACCATCGGAAGGATATTTCGAGTATTAATCTTGAGTTCCTTCAGTTTCTTGTACATCCTTTCATACCGTACATACTTGCGCGCGTACCGTGACACACTGACAGCAGGTAATGAACTATGCAACATAGAGTAGATTGATTTTTTATATGAAAGAGTGATGGGAAGGGTGGTAGGGTAGAACTTCATGGATTTCTTGTTAACTTTGTTGACATTCTTATTTTCTTGCTTAACCTCTTGTCCTTAATGTCAATGGGCATAGTATGCCCAGAACAATGTTATATCTCTCTTCTCTGACGCCGAGGCACTTTCTATGATCCTGAACAGTGAATGCATCATCTCTAGTCCCTAACGTCAAGGGATCCCTTACGCCCTGAACAATGATCCATCTCTCTTTGACGTCAAAGGACCTTCTATGGCTCTGAACAGTGCTCCATATCTCTGACATCAATTGTCTATGACCCTGAATAATGATCTTCGCCTCGCTGACATCAATGCATCTCCTGCGACCCTGAGCAATGTTCCACCTCTTCTCTTCCACCTTGCTCTGATTAAGTCACCTACTGATATGAAATTCTTAATTCTGTTCCTTCCTTCAGTGTTATTGTTTCTAAGTTAAATAAGCAATATAATTTCTTAAAGCTCTATATAAAATAGGTGAATAAGGATTCTTGTCTGTTGACAGGGAGGAGGCAGCAGTAGACGCAGCAAACCACGGCGGGTGGCGCAGATGGAGGAAGACCTGCGAGCGGCCCTTATTCTCTCCTTCTGCAGCCCTTCTACTGTCCCTTATAAGGTTATCGCCGCACCAGATATCTCGTAACGTCAGTGTATGTGTATACTCACCTAACAATGTATGTGTATACTCACCTAACAATGTATGTGTATACTCACCTAACAATGTATGTGTATACTCACCTAACAATGTATATGTATACTCACCTAACAATGTATGTGTATACTCACCTAACAATGTATGTGTATACTCACCTAACAATGTATGTGTATACTCACCTAACAATGTATGTGTATACTCACCTAACAATGTATGTGTATACTCACCTAACAATGTATATGTATACTCACCTAACAATGTATATGTATACTCACCTAACAATGTTCGAGGAGATTTGAGCTCAGGTTCTACCATCGACTGGTGTAGATCATGTCTGACTGTCACCCTAACTATGGTGGAAGCCATGAATTAGTCAGCCTACTCCACTCTCCTGACGCTCAGTGACAAACAGGAGTTTATCACCCTATTAGATACCACTGTTCTTCTTTTTCTATTCTCTCACATGTCGAATAGTACGCCCTCGTCGATCTTGTTTACATCCAGTTAAGTGTACCTATTTAGGAATGATCTGAAGGGTATGAACAACAGGTCACACACATAACAAATTAAAATTAAAGTGAAAAATGTTTTAGAAAAAACAAAAACTTTATCAAAATTATTTGTTTATTTAATGTTTAAAGAAACAGTACGCCAGGTAAATAATTAATATTTCAGATTATTAACATCAACTCCTAACACTTAATTATTAAAACTTCCTAGCTAAAATCCTAAATGAACTGCAAAAAGTAACTTATCTAAGTTGCAGGGCGCCAGTACATCCCCAGGTGCAAAGTATAAGGAAAAAAAAAGCTTTCACTCCTTAGCGTGTAGTCTAGTTTAATAGCTTTAACAGGTACCCATCCTGTTAACTCCTAGTCTCGTCTTAGCATCGGACAAACTCGTCTATCACTGCCTGTCTATCACTGAGCACGACGAATTTTTCTCCGACGTTGTCACTACTCTTAACAGCCTCACTGTATCTTCCCTCCTTGCTGACGGAGCCACCTTTGACAGACTCCCTCTTCGACTTTTTGACAGCAACTGATTTTTTACACAAACTTTGATAATCCTTCCTTCAGCACTCCTCACAGCCCTTCCTAACTTTACCTTTGTTGTCCTCTCCACCCTTATTCATCCTTTGATCCTGCATCAATTCCTACCCTGTAGTGTTATATGACCCTAGTAGGTTTAACACTTCTTTTTGATAATAATAATAATAATATAATAATAATAATAATAATAATAATAATAATAATAATAATAATAATAATAATAATAATAATAATAATAATAATAATAATAATAATAATGTTAGCTCCTAGTACAAGTCACTGCTATGTCTCAGATAACACTGATTCATTTATTCCATTCATTCATCCCATCCCTGGCAACAACACCCCTCCCCCACTCGTCATAGATCTAAACTTACTCCCTGTTCAGAACATCCACACTTACTACTGTGCAATCTGTATCTACAGGACCTAAAATTCCAATATTAACCTTGACCTAAAACACTTTCTTGATAGTTGTGACAGGATCCACAGGCATAACACCAGACACAAACATCTCTATGACATTCCCCGTGTTCGACTAAACCTTTACAAAAATTCAATGTACTTCAAAGGACCTAAAGTCTGGAACACCCTACCTGAAAACTCTAGAACTACAGACACATTCATCACTTTCAAAACTACAATTAGAAAACATCTTATCTCCCTGATCCACCCGGACAACTAACTACATGATAACCACCTGGTGGTTCACAATTCCACTCACTCACCCACTGACTATGAAGCCAGAAATACTAATCTTAATCTTGAAATAATAAATCCTAACTAGTCATAAGTTTGTCTATGATACTCCAATATAGACACTTTGTATTGTGCCAAAACAAAAGCATTCACATTGCTAAACTCACAAATTATGATGTAGTCACTTAGCCTTAATACCATAATCTGTAAGGATTTAATGTTAAGAATTAATCTAAGTCTGCTCGAAATGCCGAGCCATGCTAGGTGTCCTAGTGGCCCCCTCTATAATTAGTATTTTATAACATGTAAACCACACAATACCCAAAACCTGTAAACTCCACATTGTAACCCTTATAGAGAATAAACTTGAATTGAATTGAATTGAATCCTGGAGGAATACATTTCTCCTCGCGCAGTTGACAAGCACTTCTCAGATCTGTCATTTCAGCAGAGCCTTCAACATAGGAGGGATGTGGGTGGCCTTACTGTTATGTACAAGGCCAATATTGTCAAAGTACCACACTTGGATCCACTTCGAGGACAGCGTGAAACAAGCTTTTATGCCACAAGACGGGCAGAAAGCAGCAACTTCACTCTGGCTGTACCCTTCTCCAGAACATCACTCCATCTGAGATCATATATACCCAGGATGACTCGAGTATGGAACACATTCGTACAGCATAATGATGTCAACGAGATAAAGTCAGTTGATCACATGAAAATGCTGGCCCACAGATGGCTCCAATTTCATCCTGTTCCCTACTTGTATGTCTCATAACAATAAAAATGCTTTCAAATTAGCTGATGTAGGTAACAGCTCTTAGCTTGTCAATAAAGCAAGGGATCTTTAACCTTGTCAAACCCTGTGAAAAAAAAGAAGAAAAAGACAAGAATTCCTCATAACGTCAAAACTAACATGTTCTGGCGATTTTAACCGTAATTATATAAACTCGATAAACGTCTTAATATTTACTTTAGAAGTTAACGGAAAAATGACATTAAATAAATGCAAACATAATGGAGTGAATGAGATGTGAGTGAGAGCTGGTTGTGTTACAGGTGTTGGAGGAAGGTCTGAGGGCAGTAGAGGCATCCTTGAGGCAGCTGGTGGGTATAGTGAGGCCCTACAACACTCTCCTCACACTCTTGCATCATGGATACACTCACCACATCCACCATCTCCAAACACGCCTTGCAAATCTTCAGGTAACGCCTCTCAAATATATATATTTTATATATATATATATATTTTATATATATATATATTTTATATATATATATATTTTTTTTTTTTTTATTATCACACCGGCCGATTCCCACCAAGGCAGGGGGCCCGAAAAAGAAAAACTTTCAACCATCATTCACTCCATCACTGCCCTTGCCAGAAGGGTGCTTTTACACTACAGTTTTTAAACTGCAACATTAACACCCCTCCTCAGAGTGCAGGCACTGTACTTCCATCTCCAGAACTCAAGTCCGGCCTGCCGGTTTCCTGAATCCCTTCATAAATGTTTCTTTGCTCACACTCCAACAGCACGTCAAGTATTAAAAACCATTTGTCTCCATTTCACTCCTATCAAACACGCTCACGCATGCCTGCTGGAAGTCCAAGCCCCCCGCACACCCAAAACCTCCTTACCCCCTCCCTCCAACCCTTCCTAGGCCGACCCCTACCCCGCCTTCCTTCCACTACAGACTGATACACTCTTGAAGTCATTCTGTTTCGCTCCATTCTCTCTACATGTCCGAACCACCTCAACAACCCTTCCTCAGCCCTCTGGACAACATTTTTGGTAATCCCGCACCTCCTCCTAACTTCCAAACTACGAATTCTCTGCTTTTATATTCACACCCACAATTCCCCTCAGACATGACATCTCCACTGCCTCCAGCCTTCTCCTCGCTGCAACATTCATCACCCACGCTTCACACCCATATAAGAGCGTTGGTAAAACTATACTCTCATACTTTTCCCCTCTTTGCCTCCAAGGGACAAAGTTCTTTGTCTCCCCCAGACCCCTAAGTGCACCACTCCTCTTTTTCCCTCATCAATTCTATGATTCACCTCATTTTTTCATAGACCCATCCGCTGACACGTCCATCCCAAATATCTGAATACGTTCACCTCCTCCATACTCCTCCCTCCAATCTGAATTCAATCTTTCATCACCTAATCTTTTGTTATCCTCATAACCTTACTCTTTCCTGTATTCCCCTTTAATTTTCTTTTTTGCACACCCTACCAAATTCATCCACCAATCTCTGCAATTCTCTTCAGAATCTCCAAGAGCACAGTGTCATCAGCAAAGAGCAGCTGTGACAACTCCCACTTTGTTTTGTGATTCTTTTATTTTTTAACTCCACGCCCTCTTGCCAAGACCCTCGCTTTTACTTCTCTTACAACCCCATCTATAAATATATTAAACAACCACGGTGACATCACACATCCTTGTCAAAGGCCTACTTTTACTGGGAAAAAATTTCCCTCTTTCCTACATACTCTAACTTGAGCCTCACTATCCTCGTAAAAACTCTTCACTGCTTTCAGTAACCTACCTCCTACACCATACACTTGCAAAATCTGCCACATTGCCCCCCTATCCCCCCTGTTCATACGCCTTTCCAAATCCATAAATGCCACAAAGACTTCTTTAGCCTATCTAAATACTGTTCACTTATATGTTTCACTGTAAAACCTGGTCCACACACCCCTAACCTTTCCCAAAGCCTCCTTGTTCATCTGCTATCCTATTCCCCCTTCTTACTCTTAATTCTTTCAATTATAACTCTACATACACTTTCCAGGTACACTCAACAGACTTTTCCCCCTATAATTTTTGCAAATCTCTTTTATCCCTTTGCCTTATACAAAGGAACTATGCATGCTCTCTGCCAATCCTAGGTACCTTACCCTCTTCCATACATTTATTAAACAATTGCACCCCAAACCCCTCCAAAACTATATCCCCACCTGCTTTTAACATTTCTATCTTTATCCCATCAATCCCGGGCTGCCTTACCCCCCTTTCATTTTTTCCTACTGCCTCACGAACTTCCCCCACACTCACAACTGGCTCTTCCTCACTCCTACAAGATGTTATTCCTCCTTGCCCTATACACGAAATCACAGCTTCCCTATCTTCATCAACATTTAACAATTCCTCAAAATATTCCTTCCATCTTCCCAATACCTCTAACTCTCCATTTAATAACTCTCCTCTCCTATTTTTAACTGACAAATCCATTTGTTCTCTAGGCTTTCTTAACTTGTTAATCTCACTCCAAAACTTTTTCTATTTTCAACAAAATTTGTTGATAACATCTCACCCACTCTCTCATTTGCTCTCTTTTTACATTGCTTCACCACTCTCTTAACCTCTCTCCTTTTCTCCATATACTCTTCCCTCCTTGCATCACTTCTACTTTGTAAAAACTTCTCATATGCTAACTTTTTCTCCCTTACTACTCTCTTTACATCATCATTCCACCAATCGCTCCTCTTCCCTCCTGCACCCACTTTCTGTAACCACAAACTTCTGCTGAACACTCTAACACTACATTTTTAAACCTACCCCATACCTCTTCGACCCCATTGCCTATGCTCTCATTAGCCCATCTATCCTCCAATAGCTGTTTATATCTTACCCTAACTGCCTCCTCTTTTAGTTTATAAACCTTCACCTCTCTCTTCCCTGATGCTTCTATTCTCCTTGTATCCCATCTACCTTTTACTCTCAGTGTAGCTACAACTAGAAAATGATCTGATATATCTGTGGCCCCTCTATAAACATGTACATCCTGAAGTTACTCAACAGTCTTTTATCTACCAATACATAATCCAACAAACTACTGTCATTTCGCCCTACATCATATCGTGTATACTTATTTATCCTCTTTTTCTTAAAATATGTATTACCTATAACTAAAACCCCTTCTATACAAAGTTCAATCAAAGGGCTCCCATTATCATTTACACCTGGCACCCCAAACTTACCCACCACACCCTCTCTAAAAGTTTCTCCTACTTTAGCATTCAAGTCCCCTACCACAATTACTCTCTCACTTGGTTCAAAGGCTCCTATACATTCACTTAACATCTCCCAAAATCTCTCTCTCTCCTCTGCATTCCTCTCTTCTCCAGGTGCATACACGCTTATTATGACCCACTTCTCGCATCCAACCTTTACTTTAATCCACATAATTCTTGAATTTACACATTCATATTCTCTTTTCTCCTTTCCCTAACTGATCATTTAACATTACTGCTACCCCTTCCTTTGCTCTAACTCTCTCAGATATATATATATATATATATATAATATATATATATATATATATATATATATTATATATATATATATATTATATATATATATATATATATATATTTATATATATATATATATATATATATATATATATATATATATATAATATATATATATATATTCAATTCAATTCAATTCAATTCAAGTTTAATCTCTATAAAGGTTACAATGTGGGGTTTACAGGTTTTGGGTATTGTGTGGTTTACATGTTATAAAATACTAATTACAGTGGGGGCTACTAGGACACCTAGCCTGGCTAGGCATTTCGAGCAGACTTAGATTAATTCTTAACATTAAATCCTTACAGATTATGGTATTAAGGCTAAGTGACTACATCATAATTTGTGAGTTTAGCAATGTGAATGCTTTTGTTTTGGCACAATACAAGGTGTCTATATTGGAGTATCATCGGCAAACTTATGACTAGTTAGGATTTATTATTTTAAGATTAAGATTAGTATTTCTGGGTTTATAGTCAGTGGGTGAGTGAGTGTAATTGTGAACCACCAGGTGGTTATCATGTAGTTAGTTGTCCGGGTGGATCAGGGAGATAAGATGTTTTCTAACTGTAGTTTTGAAAGTGATGAATGTGTCTGCAGCTCTAGAGTTTTCAGGTAGGGTGTTCCAGATTTTAGGTCCTTTGAAATACATTGAATTTTTGTAAAGGTTTAGTCGAACACGGGGAATGTCATAGAGATGTTTGTGTCTGGTGTTATGCCTGTGGATCCTGTCACAACTATCAAGAAAGCGTTTTTGGTCAAGGTTAATATTGGAATTTAAGGTCCTGTAGATATAGATTGCACAGTAGCAAGTGTGGATGTTCTGAACAGGGAGTAAGTTTAGATCTATGAAGAGTGGGGGTGGGGGGTGTTGCCAGGGATGGGATTTAGTGATTATTCTTACTGCGGCTTTTTGTTGGGTTATTATTGGCTTTAGGTGTGTTGCTGCAGTTGAACCCCAAGCATAGATAGCATAGGTGAGGTATGGATATATAAGTGAATGGTATAGTGTGAGAAGGGCAGTTTGCGGCACGTAGTATCGCATCTTGGAGAGGATCCCCACCGTTTTGGATACTTTTTTTGTTACGTGTTGGATATGGGTGCTGAAATTTAGGTTGTTGTCGAGGTATAGGCCAAGGAATTTGCCCTCATTATGTCTGGCAATTAGTGTTGTCTATCTTAATGTTAAGTTGCGCAACACCTGCTCTGCTACCAAACATAATATAGTAGGTTTTGCCAGGGTTAAGTGTAAGTTTATTGGCTGTCATCCAAGTCGATATTTTGAGCAGCTCCTCGTTAACAATGGTGTTGAGGGTGGCAAGATTAGGATGGGAGATGACATAAGTCGTGTCGTCAGCAAAGAGAATGGGTTTCAGGTGTTGGGATATGTTTGGAAGATCATTGATGTAAATGAGGAAGAGCAGGGGTCCAAGGACACTTCCCTGCGGAACTCCAGTATCAAGTGGCCGTATTGATGAGGCTGTGTCTTAATGGTGACATACTGATACCTATTAGAAAGGTAAGATTTAAAATATGCAAGCGCATGGCCTCTTATACCACAGTGGTCAAGTTTGTGGAGTAGGATGCCGTGGTCTACTGTGTCAAACGCTTTTCTTAGGTCCGTAAAAATTCCTAGCAGATATTCCTTATTTTCAAATGCTGTGTAAAGCAGGTCTAGCATTTTTATAATTGCATCATTAGTGCTTTTATTTTTCCTGAATCCAAATTGGCAGGGGTTGAGTATGTTTTGTGACGTTATAAATGAATATAGTCTCCTGTGCACGAGTTTCTCGAAGATTTTGGAAAGCAATGGTAAGTTTGATATTGGCCTATAGTTGTTTACGTCTGTAGGGTCACCACCTTTATGTATTGGTGTAACCCTTGCTGTCTTGAGTAGTGTCGGGAAGGTGCTAGTTTCTAGTGGCTTGTTAAAAAGTAATGTAATAGCATGCGAAAGGACATGGGCCACTCGCTTGTACAATAATGGTGGGACGTGAGACAGAATCCCCGAGTTATTTTTAAGTGACTTTATGATCGCAGTGACTTCCGTGGGCTCAGTTGGTACAAGATAGAAGGAATTTGGGAAATTCCCATCTAGGTAGTCCCCGGCACGGGCATTGGTACGTGGGATTTTACTGGCGAGATTAGATCCTATGTTTGAGAAGAAGTCGTTTATCTTGTTAGCTGTGTCAGTGGGATGCAGTGGTGTTTCATGAGGTTTAGTTAGAACAATATTCTTGTTTTTTTTCAGTTTGTGGGTCCCCAGAATCTGGGAAAGTGTTTTCCAGGTCTTTTTTATATCTCCTCTTGTGTCAGTGAATCTGCTGGAGTAGTACAGTTGTTTGGCTTTCTTATATAATACAAAAATCGCGAACAAGCGATACAGGATGCAAAACAACCACGGGGTAGTTGAATGATAACCTAGGCCTTTCGTGTAGCAATCAACACATCATCAGGAGTTTGCAGTGTTGCAGAAGAGGACCTCCTCATTTTTTCTGCAACATTGCAAGATCCTGATTATATATATATAATATATATATATATATATATATATATATATATATATAAATATATATATATATATATATATATATAATATAAATATATACACACACACACACACACACACAAAGTATGATGTATGAGTTGGAGAATGTTTCTGACGTATTATGATTCAGACGCTGCTGGAGAATAACATGTCGTACGGATGTCAGCATAAACCAGAAGTGACCCGCCTCAGCACTCTTAACTCTGACCTCCACTACCGTCTTCAAGATTCTGACCTCCTGCTCGGTGACCTCAAGAACCAGGTTTTCAAGGTAAGAGGTCATATTGTCAATCAATAATATGATTAGGCTACATTTCCGTGAATTTATATATTTAAAATTGATAATAATGAAAATTATAGGTTTATCAAGCGCATCAAATATAAGGTACACTTTTAAGTTAATGATTCTCGTGTTGTCAATAGTTAGTAATTTAATATGTTTATTATGCACCCCATACCCATTCTGTGGGCGGTAGTCAAAAAATTACAGAGACACATTATGGGTCCAGGAACTAGGCCCCAAAGTTTTGATAGCTATGCAAGTTACTGTCCTTAAGGCTAAAAGTGGTATATTAATATTTTATAATAATGTATTGTAAGTAAGTGTAATTACTACTTGAAAGTTTTTGCCGATTATTATTATATTTATGTGAAGCGTTAAACCCGTGTGGGTTATTTAGTGCAAAGATTAGTGGAGGCCTGATCCCCTGTCCGGTAATACGGTCTGTTTGACCTGTGTCTTTAATAGACTGAATATACCTCAGTGTAACGTTCATGTGACTGACTTCACTAAAAGTATAATGGAGCTGAATACATTATTCCCACAAAGAGCTCATGACAATTGTAACTTGACTGGCTAACAGACGGCTGTCATCCACTGTCCACTTTGACGCTATTTAAAGTTATTTTCGGTGTACTGTTGTTCATAATTTCTTACGCGTTCATTTATGTAATATACTTATTCTATAACTATTTTATTGTATGTTTAATCTTTAGTCTGCCTGAGATGCATTGCACAACTGGTGGCTTTTCCACGTACGACAGAAAAATATTTAATGCTAACCTATGTAATGATATGGAAAATAAGCTTTTACTTTATTTACATTAGCAGGATGTGTATAGAGTAACTGCCACCCACTGGAGGGTCTGGTATGTATAATAATAGTAGTGTTAATCTATTACGCAGCTTGAGGAACTGCTTGGAGAAGAGAGACGTCGAGGCCAGTGTCTGGAGGACGAGACACGGAGACTGGAGGGTCAGCTGCTGGAGGTGATCACCGCCGTTGCTGTCTCATGTTTAGTTAAGGTGTAGTAGGAACTGTCATTGAACTTGAAGAGAAGCGTCTGGATGCTTATGAAAGAAACTCGACCAAAGAAATTGGAGTTATCCTTCCCTTACCCTGATCAAGCATCATTACCTTCCATTTCACATGCGGTGTGTGGCGCAGATTTAGTTCCTCGCGAATGTATAATAAACGAACCAACATTGAGACAGTATAACATCATGTATTAGAGTCACTGTATCTTTCGACCTCATACCAAGGATCTGCTGAAGAGGACTTTAGAGTGAGGGCCGTGTTTTCTTCTATGATACTGTCTCAATGTTGGTTCTTTTGTCAGAGTGTCTGTATGTTGGTTAGGTGGTGACATTCACAATAACATGCGAACAGATACAAATCATATTAGTGATTAATTAGACGTTTAGGCTGTGTGTACAGTGTGGTACAGGCTGTAATAACACAAGCACTTCCGTGCCTGGAACAACTCACAACTAACCAACGAAAAAGGAAATGGAAACAAGGGGTCATTTCGGTCCATTGTAGACCATTATCATGTCGCAAGTGATAATGACCCAAGTCTGACAGAAACGTTATCTAATTTCCAATTTGTGGGTTACTTTCGATAGCTGACACTGGTGTGTCTCGCAGGCTAGGGTCAGATTAGATAACAAATTCCTCCTGGCTTGGGGCCTCTAGTCAGTATGATGACCCGCTGTTGGGAAGTATAGTCACATGACCGAGTCCTTCCACTAGCTTACTGGTCCAACTTTTTAAATATTTTAGATAAAATCGTATTAATTCAAATAATTTTACGCAGGCGAGGGTGGAGGCCGGAGCACTGAGAAGGAAGGTCGCCAGCCTCCTGGGTGACCGACCATACTGGGACCCACAGCTCCTCAAGGTCGCTCTCTGCAAGTGCAGGTCAGACGTATCTTTTTTTTGGTATTATTATTATTATTATTATTAATTATTATTATTATTATTATTATTATTATTATTACTATTATTATTATTATTATTATTATTATTATTATTATTATTATTATTATTATTATTATTATTATTATTATTATTAGCGAATAAAACTGATCTATGTCACGTTCTACAAGGCATGAGAGAGAAGCAGTGAGCGTTGGGTTACCATTATTATACTCTGCATGCACGACTAGACTACTACTACTACTACTACTACTACTACTACTACTACTACTACTACTACTACTACTACTACTAAAACTACTACTACTACTGCTGCTGCTGCTACTACTACTGCTACTACTATCATTACTACAACAGTTACAACTTTTGCTACTACTACTACATATAAAGTAATATATAATTAATAATAGCAATAAAAATACGATGATTATGTTTAGCAATAAACCCGTGTGGGTCATCTAGCACAAGGAGTGGCAGATGCTCGATTCTCCATCTCGAAGTGCTCGATGAACACATTAATGACCAAGAGTTTAACATCAGGGAGGAGCTGAGTGAGAAGACTCGCCTTCTGCATGATATTGAACGCCAATATCGCGACGTTGTACCTAGGGCTGACTACGATCGTCAGCAGCGCCGCCTTACCACCCTCAGCAACTCCCACAAGCAGCTCTCTCACGCCCACGACATGCTCAAGGATCAGCATGACGCCCTCCTTGGTACGTCGCCAATCCTTCATGCTGGCTAGGTTCCTCTTCACCTGGAAGTAGACAGGTACCTGGGTGTTAGTTGACTGTTGAGGGATGGTACCATGGCAAGGGCGGCACCGTGGCGGGGGTGGCACCATAGCGGGAGTGGCACCGTGGAAGGAGTGGCATCATGACAATGGTGGCAACATGGTAGGGGTGACACCATGGCGGGAGTGGCAACGTGGAGGAAGTGGCATCATGGCAGGGGTGGCAACATGGTAGGGGTGGCACCATGGCAGGAGTGGCACCGTGGAGGGAGTGACATCATGGCAGGAGTGGCATCATGACAGGGGTGTCACAATGCAGGGTGAACAGGAGTGGAATCATGGTAGAGGTGGCACCATGGCAGAAGTGGCATCATGGCAGGGGTGGCACCATGGCAGGAGTGGCATCATGGCAGAGGTGGCACCATGGCAGGAGTGGCATCATGGTAGGGGTGGCACCATGGCAGGAATGGCATCATGGTAGGAGCGGCACCATGGCAGGAGTGGCATCATGGTAGGGGTGGCACCATGGCAGGAATGGCATCATGGTAGGAGTGGCACCATGGTAGGAGTGGCACCATGGCAGGAGTGGTATCATGGCAGGGGTGGCGTCATTGGTGGTAGTAACATAACTTACACAAGGTCAGGCTTTGAAATAAACTCAGTAATTTTTCATTTAGGCTTTGTGTACATAGCATATAATTTTGTCACAGTAGTTTTGAGTCTACACAGATGTTTTAGGTACGTAAAAAGTATATTATATTAATGTAACTCAGGATAACCCTGTATAGTACACAAATAACCCGCAATCACGAGACTGAAACTTACTAAGACATTTCAGTAGTCACAAATTCTCCTGTTAAGTAAAAGAAGAAAAAAGACTACCATTGAAGTCTTTAGGGTAGGATAACTACTCTGACTTAACCTGGAAACTGAATAGCGTGAGGGAATGTCAACAGCTCCTGACTTACGGGTTATATTAAGACCTGTGACTGACGAGATGCGTTGGCTGATGCGTTGACAGGTGTGTACGAAGCAGCTGTGACAGAGAGGGATGAGTTGAGTGCGGAGAACCACACGCTGCGCCGCGCCGCCACGCCAAGACCAGATTGGAACAGGTAGATCACTTCTTGTAAGACCATATCTTGAAAGTCTTGATGGCTCGCAACTAGTCATCTAGCCTACTCAATATTGCAACTGTAGAGGCCGCTTGTCATCGTCAGGCACGTCCTGGTGAATTATTAACTGACCAAGACCTGCCTCTTCTACACCAGGGCAAATAAGCCTACACCGAGAGGTGTATTTCTAAGTTCATACGTACCTTTTAACTATAATGGGGCTTCAAGCATACTTGACGTTGAGAGTTAGTTTAATATGTTTATTATGCACACCATACCCATCCTGTGGGGAGTAGTCAAAAAATTACAGAGGTACATAATAGGTCCAGGGACTGGGCCTCAAAGTTTTGATAGCTGAACAAGTTACAAAGCTAATAAACTTTTACATGTCTATATCTGTCACAATCATGGCCAAGTTACAAAAGTAATGAACCATCTACATGCCTATACATAGTCACAATCATGAACAAATTATAAAGTAATGAGCCATTCACACGTCCACTCCGTTGAGAAACACGATTGTTCACTTGCTTAACAATCCTTGCAGCTTTAAATCTAGATTCCAGACCTTCAACCGAAGCACTGATTTACGCATTGCTGTTGTCGTTTCTGCTCTCTTTGCTGTTAATGGTCTTGCTGTCACTGATGTTCTTTTCCTGTGCAGGGCAGCTGAGTACGTGGAGGGAGGCATTAGTCGCTGGAGGGAGCTGTCTTGTGGTAAAAACAGCGACCAGTTGGTCGACGTTCTCATCTCCGAGCTGACAGGCTCTCAGCTCTCCACCTCCAGTGAGTTCATTGATGCAAGGTGGGTACACATTTAGTTTAATGTATAGGAACGACATACACTGGTCAGTACACACGTAGCTCGCTGTATAGGGACGATATACGCTGGTCAGCACACACACTTGGCTCTCTATACAAGAACGACATACACTGGTCCCTACACACCTGCCTCGTTGTATAGTGACGACATACACTAATCACTACACAGGGATAACAAGCATGGTATAGGCCCACCTAAGCAATAATGGACAATACCGTCACAAGAACAATTCACAACTAGCTCACGAATTGGAAAAGGAAACTAGAGGGCGTTGTTATGCGTCCTAGCGATTTGCACATCAATTCAAAGTTTATTCAAATTCAAAGTTTATTCTCTATAAGGATTACAATGCTGAGTTTACAGAAATTTGGTTATTGTTTGGTTTACATGTAGTAAAATTGTGATTACAGAGTGTACCACTAGAACGCTTAGCATGGCTAGGCATTTCGGGCATACTTAGTGGTTCAAGAAGGCCCGAAGCAGCACCTAATTTTTAGTTTTAATTTTTTAGTTGTGAAAAAAGAGTGACAATATTTACCAGATTTTTTGATCTGATCATTTGAGCTTCCAGTATTGACGAGAAGAAGAGATCAAGAGCACCTCAGCAATAGTTGAGGTACTCTTGCAAATATATTTACCAGGTAACATCAAACGTTTCCTCCTTTGTAATGAGAGCCAGTAAATTCAGTAATAATCATAAAATATAATTCACCATAAACACGCGCTTAGGAAAGGAACCTGGTCACGACGTTTCACTCCCTCCTGGACCATTGTCAAATCACAACTGACTTGGCACAATGGTTCAGGACGGACCGACATGTCAAATTTTTTTTTTTCCGAAGTGAGAATTTTTGGTGCATTTTCCAGCCACGATGTGTTGTGACATTTTGTTCTTCTTGAAATATGTGACGAAGTTCATATTTTAAACATTCAGTTTGAAATTGTTATATGTATTCAGATCTTTCCTCAGTTTCATTTAGATGTGAATATGGTTACAAAAGCTTGATTGTTCATAATCGTGTGGAAACTATACAAATAATGGTAGTTGATTGTTAAGGAAGAAGAGTAAGAATATTCGTGTCAGTTGTTACTAATATGGTGTGAGGTGTATGATATAGTGTGTGTGTGTGGGGGGGGGAAGGGTTTTGTATGTTTTGTGACTATGTGGAGGACAGGATCACCCTCCTACCTGAATGTGTCATACCGGAGGGTATGTCTGTGGACATGGCGTGTAGGACAATACACCAACCTACCTAAATGTGTGTGTACCTATCTATATGTACTAACCTATATGTGGTTGCAGGGGTCGAGGCACAACTCATGGCCCCACCTCTTCGCTAGTCGCTACTAGATCACTATCTCCCCGCTCCAAGAGCCTTATCACACCTCTTCTTAAAGCTATGTATGGATCCTGCCTCCACTACTTCACTCTCCAGATTGTTCCACTTCCTGACAACTCTAAGGCTAAAGAAATATTCCCTAACATTCCTATGACTCATCTGAGTTTTCAACTTCTAGGTGTGTACTCCTTGTTCCTGTGTCCCATCTCTGAAATATTTTAGCCCTGTCCACCTTGTCAATTCCTATCAATATTTTATACTGAGAGGAACTGGCAAGGTTCCTTATAGCCCTCCTATCTTCTAATGTCATCAGGTTAGATTCTCTTAAACTCTCTTCGTAAGACGTACCCCTTGGCTCCGGAACTGGTCTTGTTGCAAACTTTTGCACTTTCTAATATCTTGACGTGTTTGACTAGATATGGGTTCCATACTGGTACTGCATATTCCAATATGGGCCCGACGTACACGGTGTACAGAGTCATGAATGACTCAATACTTAGCTGTCGAAATGCTATTCTCAGGTTTGCTAGGCGCCCATATGCTGTAGCGGTTATCTGGTTGATGTGCGCCTCAATAGACGTGCTTGGTATAATGCTCACTCCAATAACCTTTTCCTTAAGCGAAGTTTGCAGCCTTTGATTCCCTAGCCTGTACTCCGTCTGCGGTCTTCTTTGTTCCTCCCCAAGCTTCATGACTTTGCACTTGGTAGGGTTAAACTCCAGGAGCCATTTGTCGGACCAAGCCTGTCAAAGAGCCCCTTGTAATCTTATCTGATCCTCGTACGCTTGTATTCTCATTATTTTCATATCATCAGCGAAAAGGGACGCCTCTGAATCAATTCCTTCAATCATATCATTCACATATACAAGAAAAAGCACCGGACTCGGGACTGACTCTTGTGGAACCCCACTCTACACATGAACCCACTCTGACACCTCATCACGTACCTATACTCGTTGTTTCCGTCCTGTCAGATATTCCCTGATCCATTGCAGTGTTTTCCTTACTATTCATGCCTGCTCCTCTAGTTTGTGAATCACTGTCTTGTGTGATACTGTACTCACCTATTTGTACTCATCTGTTTGTGGTTGCAGGGGGGTCGAGTCTTAGCTCCTGGCCTCGCCTCTTCACTGGTTGCTACTGGGTCCTCTCTCCCTGCTCCATGAGCTTCATCATACCTCGTCTTAAAACTATGTATGGTTCCCGCCTCCACTACGTCACTTTCTAGGCTATTCCACTGTCTGACAATTCTATGACTGAAGAAATACTTCCTAACATCCCTTTGACTCATCTGACTCTTCAATTTCCAATTGTGACCTCTTGTTTCTGTGTCCCCTCCCTGGAACATCCTGTCTTTGTCCACCTTGTCTATTCCGTGCAGTATTTTATATGTCGTTATCATGTCTCTCCTGACCCTCCTGTCCTCCAGTGTCGTCAGGCCGATTTCCCTTAACCTTTCTTCATAGGACATTTCCCTTAGCTCTGGAACTAACCTGTGTGTGTGTGTGTGTGTGTGTGTGTGTGTGTGTACTCACCTAGTTGTACTCACCTAGTTGAGGTTGCAGGGGTCGAGTCCTAGCTCCTGGCCCCGCCTCTTCACTGGTCGCTACTAGGTCACTGTGTGTGTGTGTGTGTGTGTGTGTGTGTGTGTGTGTGTGTGTGTGTGTGTGTGTGTGTACTCACCTAGTTGAGGTTGCAGGGGTCGAGTCCTAGCTCCTGGCCCCGCCTCTTCACTGGTCGCTACTAGGTCACTCTCCCTGAACCGTGAGCTTTATCATACATCTGCTTAAAGCTATGTATGGATCCTGCCTCCACTACATCGCTTCCCAAACTATTCCATTTCCTGACTACTCTGTGACTGAAGAAATACTTCCTAACATCTCTGTGATTCATCTGTGTCTTCAACTTCCAACTGTGTCCCCTTGTTGTTGCGTCAATTCCTCTCAGTATTTTGTATGTCGTTATCATGTTCCCCCTATCTCTCCTGTTCTCCAGTGTCGTCAGGTCGATTTCCCTTAACCTCTCCTCGTAAGACATACCCCTTAGCTCTGGGACTAGTCTTTTTGCAAACCTTTGCATTTTCTCTAGTTTCTTTACGTGCTTGACTAGGTGTGGGCTCCAAACTGGTGCCGCATACTCCAGTATGGGCCTAACGTACACGGTGTACAAGGTCCTGAACGATTCCTTATTAAGATGTCGGAATGCTGTTCTGAGATTTGCTAGGCGCCCATATGCTGCAGCAATTATTTAGTTGATATGCGCTTCAGGAGATGTGCCTGGTGTTATACTCACCCCAAGATCTTTTTCTTTGAGTGAGGTTTGTAGTCTCTGGCCCCCTAGACTGTACTCCGTCTGCGGTCTTCTTTGCCCTTCCCCAATCTTCAAGACTTTGCACTTGGTGGGATTGAGCCAATTGCTGGACCATGTCTGCAGCCTGTCCAGATCCCTTTGCAGTTCTGCCTGGTCTTCGATCGAATGAATTCTTCTCATCAACTTCACGTCATCTGTGTGTGTGTGTGTGTGTGTGTGTGTGTCTGACAGGGAGTGTAGGACAATATACCAGCCTTTCTAATTGTGTGTGTGTGTGTGTGTCTGGCAGGGCGTGGAGGAGAGTGTGCCAGTCTACCTGAGGTATGAGGGCAGCGTCAGGAACCGACGTCTGGGCAAGCGAGACGTCTCGCTCGTCATCGACGACATCTGGAGAGAGAAGAGGAGGCTGGCAAACAAAGACCCCATGGACGAGTTTGTCGATAGCTACTTCAAAGAGAGGTGAGGTCTGGTCAGGTCTTAACCTCATCCGGAAGACATGACTTTGCAAAGTAATATGAAAATGCTGATATATAAAGATTTTTTTTAAATGATTTTAAACGTACAAAGAGTGTACTTCCCACAAGTTACATGTAGCAAGTACTTTCAAGGGCTGCGATGGATGTAAGTGTGACTGACCAAACATGCTCACAGGTACCACATGGAGGAGGTGAGAGCAGAGTGGTGTTACTCCTTAGCTGACGCCTGCCAACGACTTGCTTACGAGGAGCAGGTCAGTTTCATATTAGTTTAATGTTTATTATGCACCACATACCCATCCTGTGGGCGGTAGTCAAAAGATTACAGAGGTACATAATGGGTCCAGGGACTGGGCCGCCACAAAGTTTTGATAGCTGAACAACTTACAGTGGTTATCTGGAGGTTATTCCGGGGATCAACGCCCCCGCGGCCCGGTCCATGACCAGGCCTCCCGATGGATCAGGGCCTGATCAACTAGGCTGTTACTGCTGGCCGCACGCAGTCCAACGTACGAGCCACAGCCCGGCTGATCCGGCACTGACTTTAGGTATCTGTCCAGCTCTCTCTTGAAGGCAGCCAGAGGTTTATTGGCAATTCCCCTAATGCTTGATGGGAGGCTGTTGAACAGTTTTGGGCCCCGGACACTTATGGTGTTTTCCCTTCGTGTACCAATGGCGCCCCTACTTTTTATTGGGGGCATTTTGCATCGCCTACCCAGTCTTTTACCTTCGTAGGGAGTGATTTCTGTGTGCAGATTTGGGACCATTCCTTCCAAGATTTTCCAAGTGTAGATTATGATATATCTTTCCCTCCTGCGTTCCAACGAGTACAAGTCAAGTGCTTCCAAGCGTTCCCAGTAGTTAAGGTGCTTGACAGAACTTATACGTGCAGTAAAGGATCTCTGTACACTCTCTAGATCTGCGATTTCACCTGCTTTGAATGGAGATGTTAATATACAGCAGTATTCCAGCCTAGAGAGAACAAGTGATTTGAAAAGGATCATCATTGGTTTGGCATCTCTCGTTTTGAAAGTTCTCGTTATCCATCCTATCATTTTCTTTGCACGTGCGATCGTGGGACTGTTGTGATCCTTGAAAGAGAGATCCTCAGACATTACTACTCCCAGGTCCCTTACATTATTTTTCCGCTCTATTGTATGGCTGGAGTCAGTAGTATACTCTGTTCTAGTTATTATCTCCTCCAGTTTTCCATAACGGAGTAGTTGGAATTTGTCCTCATTGAACATCATATTGTTTACCGTTGCCCACTGGAAAACTTTGTTTATATCTTCTTGGAGGTTAACCGCTCCTAAAGCAGATGACAGCCTCATGCAGATCCTAGTATCATCCGCAAAGGATGATACGGTGCTGTGGTGTATATCTCTGTCTATGTCTGATATGAGGATAAGGAATAAGATGGGGGCGAGTACTGTGCCTTGTGGAACAGAGCTCTTCACTATGGCAGCCTCCGATTTAACTCTGTTGACCACTACTCTTTGTGTTCGATTTGTTAGGAAGTTGAAGATCCATCTCCCCACTTTCCAGTTATTCCTTTAGCACGTATTTTATGGCTATTACACCATGATCGCATTTGTCAAATGCTTTTGCAAAGTCTGTGTATATTACATCTGCATTCTGATTTTCTTCCAGTGCATCCAAGGCCATGTCATAGTGATCCAGTAGTTGTGAGAGGCAGGGGGCGACCTGCCCTGAACCCATGTTGCCGTGGATTGTGCAGATTTTGGGAATCCAGGTGATTTGCAGTCCTGCTTCTTAGCACTCTTTCAAAGATTTTTATGATGTGGGACGTCAGAGCTATTGGTCTATAGTTCTTAGCTAATGCTTTGCTGCCACCTTTATGGAGTGGGCTATATCCGTTGTTTTAAGTGATTGTGGAATTTCACCCATGTCCAAGCTCCTCCTCCATAGTGTACTTAGGGCACGCGAGAGGGGTTTCTTGCAGTTCTTAATGAAAACAGAGTTCCACGAGTCTGGGCCCGGGGCTGAGTGCATAGGCATGTTGTCAATGGCTTTTTCGAAATCTATCGTAGTTAGGGTAATGTCGGAAATCTGGCATACATTTATGGAGTTTTGAGGCTCATTCATGAAGAAATCATTTGGGTCGTCGATCCTCAGACCGATTAGTGGTTCACTAAACACAGAGTCTACTGGGATTTCAATATTTCACTCATTTCCCCTTGTTGTCATCTGTGTAAGTCCCATCCTGTCTGAGTAAGGGCCCGATACTAGATGTGGTATTTGCCTCGTTTTTGGCATATGAAAAGAAATATTTTGAATTTCTTTCAATTTCACTAATAGCTTTAAGCTCCTCCTGCCTCTCCTGGTTCCTGTAAGAGTCATTTAACTTAAGTTCGATAATTTCCACTTCCCTGGTCAGCGCCTCCTTTCGTGTATCAGATATTCTAGCACTCCTGAGGAGCTCAGTGACTCTTCGTCGTCTTCTGTAGAGGGAGCGTCTTTCTCCAGTTTACTCCTGCTCTTCTTCTTTCTTAGGGGAATATGCCTAGAACATGCTTCGGCTGCCAGGAAGTTGATCCTTTCAAGGCACTGGTTTGGATTCATGTTATTTAAGACATCTTCCCAACATGTTTCGTTTAGGACATGGTTTACCTGGTCCCAGTTGATGTTCTTGTTGTTGAAGTTGTATTTTGTGAAGACACCTTCACAGGTACATGCATTCTGCTGATCACGACCCCTATGCATGTACGTCTGGACTTCGATTAGGTTGTGCTCAGAATTAGTTGTTTTTGATATTCCTATGTCTCTTATCAGGCCCTCATTATTTGTGAATATAAGGTCAAGTGTGTTTTCTAGTCTTGTTGGCTCCACTATCTGCTGGCTTAAGGTGTGTTTTTCGCAGAGACTTAGTAGCTCATGTGTGTGTGACCTTTCATCTGCGCTACCTCCGGGGATTGTTTCAGCTATAACATTATTTGCTACATTCTTCCATTTTGTATGCCTTAGGTTGAAATCACCAAGCAGTAAGATGTTTGGGGATGGAGCTGGAAGGTTTTCCAAACAGTAATCAATTTTCAGTAGCTGTTCCTTGAACTGTTGTGAGGTTGCATCTGGTGGCTTGTATACAACCACAATGACTAGGTTTTGGTTCTCGATCTTTATTGATAGAACTTCAACTACCTCATTTGTGGTGTTCAGCAACTCCGTGCAGATAAGGGACTCTTTGACATACAGGCCAACCCCCCCTTGTTGCCTGTTTTTTTCTGTTTATATCTGGTCACAATTGTAATGAGTTATTTATGTAGACATTTATACTCTTTTTGCTATATAGCATTAACTAAACTACAGTAGGCTTCTTTTTAATTATAATAATAATAATTTGCTATACTAGTGACGCTTTGCTTCCCGCTCCTATTACATGTTCAGTTGTTTTCCAAAAATTGCCTTCTCAGTGGCGTCGCTAGGGCGGCATCTTTAGTGTCACTCCCATGTAATCCAAGGGCTGGGGGATGGGGGGTGTAAACTACAGTTACGTCACTACTGCATGACCAGTGACTAATGTTTAGCAATGAGAACGTTTAAGGGCCATAAACCGAAGAGAATACTTCTCAACTTTATTAATGATAAAATAAATAATCGTAGTAATATTGAGTAAACATAAACTCAAATACCACTTTGAGTACAGCCAACAGATCCTACATTTATTCATCTTCAACAATGCAAAAAAAAATGAAAAAATAAAGAAAAACATTGCAATATCAGAGAAACACTAGTTCCGATTTGACCTTGAGTACAGGTAACATCTCAGTGAATCTGATCTTACATTTCCTTGCCTTCAATCCTGCAGGATCATTTATCACATCACCAAAACCAATGATTTTCCCTATTGTTACAAAAAACGCGATTCTAAAAGCTTAGAGATATCCAGTGAATACTAGAAAGGACTGCCCTTCTAGCATCCAGCCTGTTACTGGGTTTTCGTAACAATTAGTCAGTATCCTTGTCCAATTATCCATTAGAATTCAGTATGATTCAGTAGTGCTTCAGGATTACAACTGGTAGGCTACTAACTAGAGAAAATAAAATTTAACAAATTAAATTAAATTAATCACAGTAATCAAAATAATATTAATCACTTCTCTCGTGTACAGTAGTATTGTGCTGATAGCACATATCACATTTTTAATTCTTAAGTACCGTCTGGTACATTAACATTTAATAAAATATTACAAATATGTACAATTAAGTTTGTGTGTATGTGTGTAAGTGCTCTAAGTAGTTCGCTAGGTCTCAAGACTCGACTAGACTTGAACAAGTGACTGACAAAGTCCTCAAATAAACTAACTTCTTGACCAACTGACAATCAGAACAGTCTGCTTGAACAATAAAAAGAATGCTAAGCCCAATAGCAATATAACAAGCAACTGCGACACAAAATCAGGAACAAGGAGATAACATAACGACACTAAGTAGGGACCATCTGCAGATCCTCTACAAAAGTCACAAAACTCCCATACTACTGAATCTAAGTTCAGCATAAGAAAATCCCCGACTGTGATAATACACAGATACCAGTACAAATTAGGTCAGAAGCTACAGCTCAGGACCTGAGTTGCTCAGAGTGTCTATGCGACACACAACCTCAGTACAATGTCGAAAATCACTAAGTCTATACAATGTTCTGTGAACAGAGTCTCCAGAACTAACAAGAATAATGAGACAAGAGACTATCTTCCAACAAGGGCCAATAAGGGAGATTTAGGCACTTGTCAGGAATACGTCCAACCACCAAGAGAGTCTAGACCAGACTGAATACTTCAGGCGAGGTGAGGACATCCCCCCTCGATCACGTGATAGCTCCGTGGACAGCTGCAGCTCAGGAACAGAAGCCGGCAGAGTAACGAGCCACAAGCGATAATTACAGTAGTTAGACAATCAAGACTTGAACTTTGAGCACATAATATATGTGTTACATCCTACCTAACAACATAACTAAGTCAAATAATAATATAAAGCAATATATTCACGATTTAGCTATTATCGCAAATGTAAGCAGTATAAAATTATATGAAAAGGTAATAAACATGTAATATATATACATAATATATATTGCAACCCATTCAAGGGTTGCAACACCTATATAGGCCTATTTGTATTCTGTAATCATATAATAGGCGACATAAAAATGAAGGATTCTTCTCTTATGTTGGTGCAGCACTGTTTTGTGCATTAGTGTCACCTTCTTTAGAGGCTCTGTGGTGTCACCCGGGGCGGCCCATCCCCCGCCCCCGCCTTACGACGCTACTGACTGAATGAACATAGGTGGGCGGTGTCTTCTTCCTGGATCAAAACACTGTCAGTCCCAGATATAAGACTTTATAGTGCTTTTCTCCGGAAATCAAGCTTTTTATGAATATGAACATCAATCCTGATATAACATGTATATTACTAAATGGAACTTCTCGTGAAACCAGTTGTTGAACAAACTGAGTAACAAAAGGTCAAAATTTCTTCTCTATGCATATATTGTTAAAATAAGCTAAAATAGGAATTCTCAACGTAAAAAAAAGCTTTAATGCTAGTATCAATAAGGTATTATTCTGCATTTTCATGTGCTGGAAAGTCAATGTTCAGCAGCAAAGTTAAAAATGATGTAGCGTATTCCTTCATCAGATCGTCCTCAATGCGGGCATCCTGTGTGGTCAGTCCTATGAGCAGTGTATCCACCACCAGGTCATAGTGTCAATACCTCTTACGACGTCCTCAAAAGCCGGACTCCCGAAGATAAGTCAGTCATATTGAATTTATCTGTTCCAGGTCACCTTTATCAGTGTTCCAGGTCATCTTTATTAGTATTCCAGGTCATCTTTATCAGTGTTCCAGGTCATCTTCATCAGTGTTCCAGGTCATCTTTATTACTATTCCAGGTCATCTTTATCAGTGTTCCAGATTATCTTCATCAGTGTTCCAGGTCATCTTTATCAGTGTTCCAGGTCATCTTTATCAGTGTTCCAGGTCATCTTTATCAATGTTCCAGGTCATCATTATCAATAATTATTTCCTGGGTCTCCGTTTCTAAGCGTGACTTTCATATATTGCATCTTTCATTTGAATATTTCATAAAATAATATGCTAGAATATTCTATAGATTAAATCACACAGAAAGCAAAAATTCAGGATAATAAAATTAAGTTTTACAGATGAATGGCGAGTTATGAATAAGAAATAAGGTACGACTGAATTATGGTAGGCATTAAGCTCACTAGCGTTACAGAACAGTGAATTTCTTTCGGCCACCCCTGTGAATCGCCATGTGAAATATAAAAATAAAATAAAATACAGTTATCGATTGCCAGTCTAAACAGTACAAAATTAATATTGTATTTTAGTTAGTTCAGTCAGCTAAATACCACCAGCCTGAACAGCCAAGTAGTCAGCTAATCAATATACCTCCCATGACAGGGAGTGGTGAGCCGAGGGGAGGTGGAGGCGGCCATAAGACAAGTTTTTCCCCTCAAATCAGAGAGTAATGTCAAGGTTCTCATGGAGACAGCGGCTCGAGCTTCCTCACTCAAGGACCCCACGGTCATCAAGTATCATAACCTTTTCTCCCAGGTGAGTCAGCCTTCCTTAGGAGGCAACTTCTTTCAGATGAGACAACCTTTGTAATAATTTAGGTAGAATTATCGGCAATATGTTGAGTAAAAGGACTCGTGTGCAACAAATATGACATTTTATAATGACAGCATTTCACTCTCCATGAGCTTCGTCAAGCCTTTACTTAACAAAGATCACCAGTAAAATGGCACATTAGTTGCAGTTCAACATCTTTTTTATGCATCCCATACCCATCGTGCGTACATGTGTCCATCTACCTAACAGAGGCAACTTTCTCAGATGAGGCTCATTCGCCGCTTAATATCGGTCAAGGATGCACTGAAACGTACTTCAGTTTTCTTTTCTACTTTGTGATTTAAGTAAGTTTATTCAGGTTAACACAAATACAGTTACATAGATTATCATACATAGCAGCATATGTGTAAAGAACCTAGGATAACCCAAAAAATTCAGAGTGACTTGTTTCCATTGGGGTCCTTTTCTGAAGTCTCCCAGATGTACATCTTCATCTCATGTGAAGCAACAGCATATAAGGTACATAATAAACTAGCCCCTTATGCGGCTAGTTTATTATGCACCATCACAGGATGAATTGCTGGTGCACGGTAAACCAGCCGCTCAGGAGGCAAGAATACTAATATATTGGGAATGAAGAAGCATCTTGTGCCGAAACGTTTCCTTTAGCTAGATTCCTGAAATGTACATAAGTGCCTTCATTCACATTAGATGATGTGTTGGTGTACAGGGCAGCACGGGAACCAGGACGGGGCTCGTCACCGAGGTGACACAACAAGCGAGGGACGAGCAGGACGCCTACATCCAGGAGGTACTTGATGAACTGGGGTATGCTGCTATGGACGTCTCCGTTAACGAGTTGAGTCGCGCCTTCACCATTGTCGACCCCAGGATAGGTGAGTGTTCCCTCTTGCCCCAGGATAGATAAGTCGCCTCAGGATAAATGAGTCTTCCTTCTCGCCTCAGGATAGGCAATTCTCCCTTTTCACTCCACGAGAGGCGAGACTTGCAACTTAGTAATTACCATTTTTTAGTGGTAATAAGGTACATGTTTTGAGATGGTATTTGTATATTGTATTGTGCACATTAGCTATATAAAAAAATGTAAAATGTGAAATGACTGCATTTTTTTTGTTGTAACTATTTCCAGTGGAGTATGAAAAACACTCCTTGACTTTTGTAATCCTGTTCTTTTGCACTACCACTCACAGGATGGACATGGCGGTGCAATAAACTGGTGTATATACACCAGTAGATGTATGAGCTGTTTTAATGACCTTTCCAGAGCAACGGGAGTTGGATGCATACCTGGAATGGATCTTCAATACCACTAAGAACCAACTTAAATCTACCGCCCCTATACCTCTTCCCTTGCTGGCAGCCAGACTCCAGACTGGTCATATTGTCAGGGTAGGGGCCAGGTCCTGAGCTGTGAATCAGTGTGGGGGGACCAAGACTTCTGCTGTGGACCAGTGTGGGGGGACCTGGACCTGAGCTGTAGACCGGTATGGGACACAGTTCCTGAGCTGTGGACCAGTTAGGGGGGACCAGGACCTGAGCTGTGGACCACTGTGGGGGGACCAGGTCCTGAGCTGTGGACCACTGTGGGGGACCAGGTCCTGAGCTGTGGACCAGTGTGGGGGACCAGGTCCTGAGCTGTGGACCACTGTGGGGGGACCAGGTCCTGAGCTGTGGACCAGTGTGGGGGACCAGGTCCTGAGCTGTGGACCACTGTGGGGGGACCAGGTCCTGAGATGTGGACCAGTGTGGGGGGGACCAGGTCCTGAGATGTGGACCAGTGTGGGGGGGGACCAGGTCCTGAGATGTGGACCAGTGTGGGGGGGACCAGGTCCTGAGATGTGGACCAGTGTGGGGGACCAGTCCTGAGCTGTGGACCATGTGGGGGACCAGGTCCTGAGATGTGGACCATGTGGGGGGGACCAGGTCCTGAGATGTGGACCAGTGTAAATTGTCATAACTATTAAGGAAGCGTTTAATGATTTATTTGTAAATAAATTCATAAGCGCTAAACCCGCGGGGGTCATGCAGAGCCTGAAGAATGGGAAGTATTCAAAATTTGATCCATTGAAGGGAATGTGTAACTATAATTCCTCATATCAAATTATTATTATTATTATTATTATTATTATTATTATTATTATTATTATTATTATTATATAAAAAGCCTGCGTTAATCTTGCGCCTAGAAATAAATTAATTTTAGTTATGTTTCGACATATGTAACATTTACGTTTGACATATTTTTGTGTGGAAATGTAAAACAATAAAATGAAATAAATATTAACTTTCCAGGTTTTTTTTTTCAAATATCATTTCCAAGTAATTTAAAAAAAATATATATATGCCCTGATCCACCATGAGGCCTGGTCACAGACCGGGCCGCGGGGGAGGGCGTTGACCCCCGAAACCCTTCCCAGGTATATATAACGTAATGGTGAGTGGTGGAAGGGATTACTCTCTCGGGTAATTTCGTCCATATACCGTACTTCCAGGTCTGCTACCTTACCGTCTGACACTTTCCATGTTTGTTACTTTTCCCTGTCTACTACTTTCCCTGTGTACCACTATCTGTCTGCTACTTCCCTGTCTGTCACTTTCCCGTCGTCTGCTACTTTCCCTTACCTGCTTCTTTACCGTCTACTACTTTCCCTATCTACTTTTCTGTCTACTACTTTGTCTTTTTCCCTATCTACTAGTTCCCCCTGTCTGCTACTGTGTCTGCCGATTTCCCTGTCTTGGCTGTCCTATAACCACCAAAATACAGTGAGGTAAGACTGATCACATTACGCTAAATCATCCGCATGCTAAGATTTTTTTATTTGAATATAATTAGATACAATTAGATGAGTACAATTACTGCATGATAGTTACACAATGGGAACAAAAGCAGTGTTTCCCATTCATATTCCATGTCTGTCAGACATGGAATATGACACAGGTACACATTGCATGTTTAAATAAAATATGGCACAGGTACACATAAGTACAATTGTCATACATAATGTAAATTACTTAGGATAAACTCCAAGAAGGTCAGAGTGACTTATTTCCACTTTATCCTTGTAATATCACAGGTCAGCGACAGTATTTCATGTTGCCCAGACTAATGAAAATAAGGAATGCCCTGTTGTGACTCGCAGAGCACACTACAACTTTTGCAGTTATCCAGAGAAGAAACCTTCCAATAAACCTGTACTTGGGCAGTTATCTAGAGAAGAAACCTTCAAAGAAACATGCACTTGGGCAGTTATCTAGAGAAGAAACCTAAGAAACCTGCACTTGCGCAGTTATCCAGAGAAGGAACCTTCCAATAAACCTGTACTTGGGCAGTTATCTAGAGAAGAAACCTTGTACAGTAAAAGAACACAAGTGCAACTAATGTGACATTTTATTGTGGCAACGTTTCGCTCTCCAGGAGCTTTGTCAAGCCGATGCAAACAGTATTTGGACACAGAGGGTATATATAAAGGCTCAGAGGTGCAATACTAGTGAGGTACCATATCGATGTTCACAGGTGGTAGTAGTAGTAGTAGTGACAAAAGTTGTAGTAGCAGTAGTAAGACAATATGGTAGAGCAATTAATTCGTACATGAGTGAAAGGATATAAAAGCTATTACTTGGGTAACATAAAAATAGGTTGGACAAACATAGACTGGAAAGAGAAGGCCTGTTTCAGTGTTCACCCTCTGTAATGTGCCCTGTGTAGTATAACAGGAGAGACTATGTGATGGCAGGGTTTACTGTTTTCAGGAGGATTCTAGCTAAGACTTCAGAGATGGTGAAGCTGCCGTTGTTTTGTTTAATAGTATTCGAAACAGCGATCAGTGCTGATTCGAGGCACTTGCGTCTGCGGAAATTAGTTTCTTTGATCACTAATTGGGCGTCCCTGAATTTCATGAAATGATTGGTGGAATTTCGGTGTTGTACACAGGCGTTGTTCAGGTTATTGTTCCTACATGCGTAAATGTGTTCATTGAGGCGGGTGTCGAGTTTTCTTGCTGTTTCACCTACATAAAACTTGTCACAGCCTCCACAGGGTATAGTGTAAACCCCTGCATTGACTGGTTCATGGTGCTTTGATTTTGTCCTGGTTAGATCCTTTACTGAAGTGCTAGAAGCGATGGCGACTCTGATGTTAGCTAGTGAAAGTACTTTGGAAACGTTCAGTGCAACCTGGCTGTTGGGAAGAATTATAACCTTGTTGGGAGTGGTGTTGGTGCGTGGAGAATTAATGATCTGAAGAGCTCTTTTCTTGCAGTCTTTGATGAAAAAGGAAGGAAAATGTAACTCAGTGAAGGTTTGGTGAATGTATGTACATTCCTCGTCAAGAAACTCAGGACTACAAATTCGGTATGCTCTTAGGAAAAACCCGATGATGATGCCTCTTTTGGTCTTGGTATCTTGACTGGAATAGAAGTGTGTGAGATCATTTTTATTGGTAGGTTTCCGATAAACTTGAAATCTTAGGTTGTTGTCTTTGTGAATGAGGACGTCGAGGAAAGGTAGCTTGTCATTGGACTCTTCTTTTAGTGTAAACTGGATCGCCGGTTCACCTTCAAGGACCATAACATTGTATCAATCGCATCTGCTAGAAAAATGACAGGATGGATAATGAGAACCTTCAAAACTAGGGAGGCCAAGCCCATGATGACACTCTTCAGGTCACTTGTTCTATCTAGGCTGGAATATTGCTGCACTCTAACAGCACCTTTCAAGGCAGGTGAAATTGCCGACCTAGAAAATGTACAGAGAACTTTCACGGCGCGCATAACGGAGATAAAACACCTCAATTACTGGGAGCGCTTGAGGTTTCTAAACCTGTATTCCCTGGAACGCAGAGGGAGAGATACATGATTATATCACACCTGGAAAATCCTAGAGGGACTAGTACCGAACTTGCACACGAAAACCACTCACTACGAAAGCAAAAGACTTGGCAGACGATGCAACATCCCCCCAATGAAAAGCAGGGTGTCACTAGCACGTTAAGAGACCATACAATAAGTGTCAGGGGCCCGAGACGTTCAACTGCCTCCCAGCACACATAAGGGGGATTACCAACAGACCCCTGGCAGTCTTCAAGCTGGCACTGGACAAGCACCTAAAGTCAGTTCCTGATCAGCCGGGCTGTGGCTCGTACGTTGGTTTGCGTGCAGCCAGCAGCAACAGCCTGGTTGATCAGGCGCTGATCCACCAGGAGGCCTGGTCACAGACCGGGCCGCGGGGGCGTTGACCCCCGAAACTCTCTCCAGGTAAACTCCAGGTTCAACTGCGTTGAGCCTTGCCTGAAGATTCCGTACATCAAAACGTTTGGGAGTTATTACGAGGGCGTCGTCCACGTAACGTAACCAAGTGACGCTTGAAGGGATGATGTTTGCGAAGTGTTCGGACTCTAGGTGTTCCATGTATAAGTTGGCTAGGACGGCACTGATGGGGGACCCCATTCCCATGCCGTAGGTTTGTTTGTAGAGCTTGTTGTTGAAAGAAAAACAGTTGAAATTAACACAGAGTTCAATCAAGTCAACAAAATCTCCGGGAGGTAGAGGAAGATTAAGGTCCTGATTGACTTTACGTCGTAGAACCTCGATGGCTTTTGTGGTAGGTACTTTTGTGAAGAGGGAAGTCACGTCCAAACTGCTTAGTTTCTTGTTACGGATGGAGAGGTTGCAGATGCGGTTGAGAAGGTCGCCTGACTGTTTAAGATGAGCGGGGCTGATGGTCCCCAGAAGGCAGGAAAGATGTTTGGCAAGAACTCCTTCTAGTTTGTGTGGAGCACTGCCTATACCTGACGTGATGGGTCTGAGAGGAATATTGTGTTTATGGGTCTTGGGTAAACCATACATGTGTGCTGGTTTAGGGTTGCTTGGTAACAAGTACAGAAGTTTCTTCCCTTCTCTAGTGCGTTTGAGTATTTGTCTGGTTTTGTATAGAAAATCTTTGGTGAGTGTTTTTCACTTGGACAACGAAATATGGATCCCAGGTTACAACCTATACAGATGTGACAGAGTGAACAGGCAAAAGGGGGGGGGAGGGTTGGCCTGTACATTGCAGAGTCACTTGTTTGCACAGAACTGCTTAATGCCTCAAATGATGTAGTGGAAGTTTTAGCAGTAAAGATCGAGAACCAAAACCTAGTCATTGTGGTAGTGTACAAGCCTCCAGATGCAACATCCCAGCAATTCCAGGAACAGCTGTTAAAAATTGACCACTGTCTGGAAAATCTTCCAGCTCCTGCACCCAACATCTTGCTCCTGGGGGATTTCAACTTAAGGCACCTAAAATGGAGGAATATAGCAAATAATCTTGTTGCAGCAATAACACCAGGAGGCAGCTCTGATGAAAACTCCCACTCACACGAGCTTTTAAATCTCTGCACAAAATTCAATTTAAACCAGCAAATAATAGAGCCTACTAGACTGGAGAATACACTAGACCTCATCTTCACTACCAAAGATGATCTGATAAGAAATGTCCCCATATCAAAAACAATATACTCAGATCCCAACATAATAGAGGATCATACATGTATGCGCGGAGCCCCAAAACTCGACATAAGGAGACAAGTTCACGAGTGGAACATTCACCAAATTCAACTTC